TCAGCATGGGGGTGAGTAGAAAATGAAGGCTAATCATGTTTTGGGTGTACTATTCCTTTAACAGGTAGGGTATATTAGGGTTTAACAAGAACGTACATCAATGATCCTAACAGTATTTATTTATTTTTGAGTTTTTGCTGCACTAGTGGCTTGTTTTTTCTACAGTAGGCTTACAGGAACAGGGGTATGGGAGAGGGGGAGAGACATGCGGCAAAGGACCACAGGTCAGGTTTGAACCCGGGTCAGCCGCATTGAGGACTAAGGCCTCAGTACATGGGTCATGCGCTTATAACCGCAGCCCCACTTGTGCGCCCCACCTAACAGTATTTAAAGAGAAATTTTTTGTTTGTGCTCTATTTGTTTGTAGAGGTTGCTGTTTGAGAAAACCAGTAGGCAAATTGTTGTAAAATATTGAAAAAGGGAATGACGTGTAGTTGACTTTCTACTGTTGTTACGTATGTTTGTCCAGGAGGAGTGACTACTGCAGATTAGTCACTAGATAAAATCAGCTAGATTTTCTCAGATAAAAACTTTTTAATAGCTTTAAAGCTTTCATTTTATAGCAGTAAAAGCTGATAGATCCTTTTTTAAATCAAATATAAAACATTTCTAATTGATAGGAATAAGTTCAATTTACACAAACTGATGTATTTAAATCTATGAATATGGAAATATGTTTTACAGATTGTTAACCAACTTACAGGGAGGAAAACTTGACCACTAGATCTTTTCTGATCTGTTTCTCAGTTCAAACGTCCTGATTCCACCTTTATAGCAATCCTCCCATAAGTTAGATTTTCTGTCATTTTAAAATGCTTTTTTTATTTATTTATTTAACCTTTATTTTACCAGGAAGTCCCTTGAGATAAAATCTATTTTTCGAGGGAGAACTTTACCAACGGTTCTCCAGATGTTCTGACATTTCTTTTCTGGGTGCCTCCTATTTACTTATTATTAGTTTATTCATTTTAATCATCATTTAAGGATAAAAAGGCTCCTGACGTCGAGAGAAGAGCCAATTTATAATGCTACTTTACCAAAAGCTAGATATTTATAAACACTGATTTTATTTAAAATGACAAAATTATAAACAATTTTAATCCTACAAAAAAGGGACAAAGTTTAAAGAAAGAAAAAAAGTATGTTAATCCAATATAATTTCCACAGAGAATAAATGCATTCTAAACATTATCTGATAATTCAGCATTAAAGTCTCTAATGCAGAATAAACCAGTTTGACCACAGAGGGGCGCTGTGCTGAGGAATCCTTCATCCTGAGGGGAGAGCTCCATCCCTCCCACTGTTCCTCCCCCCACCTGTGTGCAGGTCAGCCAGGTGTATAAAGGAGCCTTTCTCTTGGTGGAAACAGACTCCAACAGATTCACACACTGAGATCTTTGTCACAAACGGCCGGATTTCCTCCAGGAAGATGGAAACGCTGCTCAAACTCTGCATCATTCTCATCATTTTCTCCTCAGGTAAATAAAACAAACTCAGCTTAATATTTTAATATCAAGCTGTTTGACTGCAGCTTAAAGGGGAATAAAAAACTTTGAGTATGAGAAAGTTAGCACCGATCTTTTGAAGGAATAGAGGATGAAAGCTTTGGTCCCATTTACATGCTGAGAGAAGGAAAGCTCACAGATTAATTGCTAAATATATTTCAATCAGAACCTGCAAATCAGCTAAAGTTTTTTTTTATTTTTACTTTAGTTCTAGTTTAAAATGAGAGGATCTAAAACAAACAGGAAAAAACATCTTTAGTCAGCCTCATTTCTAAAAGCTTTGTTGTGAAGCTGCACCAGTATTCATCATTGTATCCTTCAGTCATAACTGCAGTATTAATGTGTGTAATACATGCATTGCAACGGATCCCTGCTGTGTTTATTAGGACCATACCGTAGAGTCAATATTGGGTGGTGGTTGAAGCTGCATAAAGGGATTTTATGCATGTTGCTAAAGCTGATTGGCAATAGGGACAAGTTAAGATAATGTGGCCCAATTTAACAGAAATGTTCTCCCAGGACTCAAAAGCAGTTGAAAAATACTTTTATAGTTATATGTTTTCAGTATTATTCTGTCCTAATTTAGCCTCTTAAAGGAATAGTACACCCAAAACATGATTAGCCTTCATTTTCTACTCACCCACATGCTGAACAACACTCTGGAG